TACATACAGAACAGAAACCATTAAGTTAACAAATTACAAAGTGCATGGCAGCAGTCGAACTTTGCATTAATTTTGCAATCTCACTGCTTTTGCCGCTACTCCGTTCTGCTTCTCGTTCACGGTTACTTGCGCAACTTTACTTAATCTCTCAGCAACAAAATACAGCCCATCGTTATTTATTGATTTGAGATAAACACAGGAATCTAATGTTGTGTTTCGGTTTTTTGCGTTTGGAAGCTAATTCCCTTTCACATAACCGGAAAAGCCGGGGAATGGCGGTGCTTTGACATTTCTCTGACGGCAGAAAAACCTAATTTTAGCATAACTCCAGTTTTTCTTGGCCTATGTTGAAGAAGATTTTAGGTTATAATATTTCTTAAGTAAACTCTCTGGGTCAATCTTCTTCAATCCCAGTGTAGCGGCTCCTACACACCAGGAGCCGCGTGTAGCCACACAGAAAACAACAATGAGTGTTGACGTCACAGAATTACAGAGTTTAATCCAATAGAAGAACATATGAAATTACAATAGAAACTGCTGAATAACAGAGACATACATTCATTTACCTGAGACAAATGGAAAAGAAGAAGGAAGAAAGAAAGGAAAGCAAAGACGTCTTTGATGAATTGCAAGAGCAAATTTGATTAGTTACTCCTGTGTAGAAAGTTTTATAGTAAAGGCGTATTCTTGTCTTTAATTTATTCAAATAAGGCGTACCTTTGCTCATCCAACCAGAAGCTGTTTCTGACCCTTTTAAAACTCCTACCAAGTGACGATCTAAGACCATTTGTGCCCATTGTTTAAACAAAGTGAGAGCAGAGACTCTCCTGAACTCCTGCTGTTTTATGGCTTTTCACAAATGAGTGTGAAAAGCTGGAACTTCTCCTGATTGTTTCCCACACAGATAAAGGGCAGTTCAAAAGATCTAGCAAACCATCTGCTAGGCCAGAATAAGTTACTAATTTCAAAACTATAATTAGGCTATTTCAATCAAGACATGTTAAGCTTTAAAACTAGCATACTTTAAATTTATTTTCTTAACACCTATTAACACAATTTAAAAACTGTTGTGTAGTTTATAATGTGCTCTTTAAGCACAAGTTGAAAGTCAGACTGGGGGAGGCAGAGTCTTGCTGCTACGGCGTAACAAACCAGACATGTTAAAAAGACGCTATAAGGCTATGGACCACTATGGTCTAACGTATGGATACTCGCGGATGTGAAATCGATACATCCCGAGGGTGGAAAACATCGATGTGTATCGTAGAATCGATATAGTTATACAGCCCTAATATATATATTATTCCAATTGTTAATTTTTCTTAAAATAGAAACAAGCAATGCTTAACCTGGCAGGGGGCTTAGTAAAGCATGGTGGGCCGCCAAGCTTATAATACACAGGGGGAAACCTTGAGTTCTTGGTGCAGTGCCAACGCTGCACCAGTTCCATAGGCAATGGGGGGGAACTAGATTTTCAGTTAGTTTGGATTGTTTGACACAGTATAGTGTGAATTCGAACTGCAGCTGCTGAAAATGTAACAAATGTTACAATTTTGGTCCTCAATCGAACCGAGTGGACTGAAGACGGTACAGTGAAGCATCTTCACTGTAGACAGAAATACAGAGCAGACTGTACTTCTTGAGGAACCTGAGATCTTTCAAGGATTGCAGCAAGGTGCTGCAGATCAGTTGTTGAGAGCATCATCTTTTCATCCTTCATCTGTTGGGGCAGTAGCATCAGAGTCAAAGGCTCCACAGCCTGATAAAGATTGGTTCTGTTCTGGGGACGACTTTGGAACCTCTGGAAATGATAATGCAAAGAAGGGTTCTTCATAAAATCAAGAAATTTATGGACAATCCTGACCTTCCTCTTCATGAGACTATCTTGAAAAAGATGAGCATCTTCAGTCAGATTCTTCTTTAGGTTCAGTGTGGTACAGACCACTTGTGGAGATCTTTCCTGCCGACTGCCATCTTCAATGACTCTGAAGAATCTTGATAAGCTACAACAAGGGTGTCCAAAGTTGGTCCTCGAGGCCCGATATCCTGCATGTTTTAGTTCTCTCCTTGGTTTAACGCAGCTGGATCAAATGATGGCTCATTAGAGACCTAAGGAGAACATTGACATGCTGAAAAGATTGCTACTACCACCAGGGAGAGAAACTAAAACATGCAGGATGCCGGCCCTCGAGGACCGACTTTGGGCACCCCTGAGCTACAACATCATTTAGTTTATCTTTGGGATTAATAAAGTATTTTTGAATTTGAAATCAGACCCGGGAATCCATTCTTTGTGTCCTGCCGAGGATCTGCAGAGGAATTTTTTACTTGACATCACATGCTTCCAGCTTCCGGCTTGCTACGTCAGAGAGCACACAGGAGTAGAAATACTTTTTATTATCGGTTTGTTTTTTGTTGCCAGCCCGTGGTGATAGCTATTAGCTTGATGGTGATGTGATCAGGAACAGGCAAGGGATTACACATTCTCGGGTTTAGGTTAAATCGTTCCTGTGAGGGACGCAATGCTGGCGGAAAAGTGGCAGCAGTGGTGGCTACGTCAGGATCTGGAAAGATACTGCCATCTTTCAAACGGGAAGGGGAACTGGTTTGAACAGTGGACCTAACAGGTCACGTCAGTCAGGGTCAGAGCGTGGCATTAAGGGAGGGGCCAAGAGAGAGTAGAATCAAGTGCAATCAAATCAAATCAATCAAATGTTATTTGTATAGCACATTTCAGGAGCAAGGCATTTCAAAGGGCTTTACATCACAACAAACACAAAAACACAAAGTCATGCAACATATAATCAACAATCAAAACATTACATTTAGTCACGTGCCGTCATTAAATTCTTAATTGATTACATTTCAAATACAACTCTAAACAGGTGGGTTTTTAGTTGAGATTTAAAGGCTATCTGTGTTTCAGCTGTTTTTGTTGTGTTCTGTGTTTTCTGTGTAGTTATTTTTGAGGTTTTCTGTGTTTAGTCCTGTCCCAGTTCTGTCTTCCCCGTTGATTGCTTCCCAGGTGCGTCTCATTCCTTGATTACCCTCCCTGTGTATTTAAATCCACCTGTTGTCTGTCTCTTGTTGGATCCTCGTCGTGTGGCACTGGCAGACGTCATATGTCGTCTGCCAGTGCCTTGTGTTCCCTGTGCTGTCCTGCTGGATTTATTATTAAATTCTTCATAATCACCTTCGTCTGGGTTCCCGCGTTCTACTTCACCACCACCAACCACACCAAATCATGATAGAAGGATCCAACCAGTAATGGTGAGGATCGCAACAGAGTGCAATATGGACCCAGCGGACCGTTGTTACCTGATGAGGGAAATCAGGAAATACGACAATGAAATGGCCAAGCCCTACGTGCCGTTCAGCAGGCTCAACGCAACCACACGTATGGCAATCCTGCTGGACAGGTGGATCACGCTCCTTCCTCGGCTGGGCTTGGTAGAATTCTACAGAGAGGTAGAGCAGGAATGGCAGGCAGTGGTGGCGGTGCTGGCTGCTAGATCTATGCCAGCACCACCGGCTCCAGCATCTGCCACAATCTGTCCGTCTCCTGCTGCACTTACCTGCTCGCCCGAGTCCTCCGCCGTCGCGGCGTCAACGCCGTCCGAGCTCCCAGCCTCAGCCTCTTCCAGAGCCCGCTCCGCCCCAGCCTCAGCCTCAGCCTCTTCCAGAGCCCGCTCCTCCCGAGTCTCCGCCCCCAGAGCCTGCACCTGGCCATATGGAGTTCAGGAACCACCCACCGCGGCTCCTGCTCCACCTCCTGTGCCATGGTCGGCCCCCGGATTGTTTGCGGCAGGTCCTGCCCTGACCGCTTTTTGTGTTCAGAGTTTTCCGTTTGGACGGAGTTATTCTTTTTCTGTGGACTCTGGCCCTCCACCGTCGCCCCTCCGCCCACCCTGATGGGTTGTTTTTTGTTGTGTTTTTTGGGGCATCTGGTAGCTGCCCTTGAGGAGGGGGTACTGTTGTTTTCTGTGTAGTTATTTTTGAGGTTTTCTGTATTTAGTCCTGCCCCAGTTCTGTCTTCCCCGTTGATTGCTTCCCAGGTGTGTCTCATTCCTTGATTACCCTCCCTGTGTATTTAAGTCCACCTGTTGTCTTTGTCTCTTGTTGGATCCTCGTTGTGTCGTCATATGTCGTCTGCCAGTGCCTTGTGTTCCCTGTTTTCCCTGTGCTGTCCTGCTGGATTTATTATTAAATCCTTCATAATCACCTTGGTCTGGGTTCCCGCATTCTACTTCACCACCAACCACACCAAATCATGACAGTTTTACAGTTTTTTGGAAGTTTGTTCCAAATTTGTGGGCCAAGAAGCTGAATGCTGCTTCTCCTTATTTGGTTCTGGGGATACAAAGCAGACCAGAGCCAGAGGACCTGAGGGGCCCCACTAGAGACAAAGGTGTAGCAAAATGGATGGAATGGTGGATATTGGATTGATGGATGGATTTATGGATGGACCCATAAAATTATATGTAGCATCATCACAGTACCATGTAAATATATGTGCTTGAAGACCAAGGTTTGTGTCAAAGGATGTTGTTGGTGAGTCCAAAATACCTCTGAAATCATTCAAATTAGTTTAGACTAATTGACAACCTTGGTATGTTTGCCAAATAACCGTTTTCACAATGCAAAGGACAAAACATTATTTTCAGAAAGTAGTGTTTTATTATTTTTGACTGAATTAGAATTTCCCTCAGATCCACAACTTTTCCATTAAGAAATAGACATACATGTGTTGTACAATTAAGGTGAGACATAAGTAATTTTAGCAACTGGTCAAATATAGAAGATGCTTTTTGTATTCTAATGTAAACCTTAGATTTACATTAGGATTTATTTGTTAATTAAATGTTTGCTAAATAATCTGCTAATCATATACACAATGTTAAAATGTCACATTTTCCCTCAGGGGATTTCTATTGTGGTCAAGTATCATACCAGTGTCATTTTCTCTTTTTTTTTTTTTCTTTCTTTTTGTATGCCAACAGTGCTGGTGTTGGGCGCACAGGCTGCTTTATTGCTATTGATGCTATGCTCGAGAGGATGAAATACGAAAAGTCTGTCGACATATATGGTTATGTGACATGCATGCGAGCTCAGAGAAACTACATGGTACAAACAGAGGATCAGTACATATTTATACATGAAGCACTTCTGGAAGCTGCAACATGTGGCAAAACAGAAGTCCCGGCCCGCAGTCTGTACACCCATCTCCAGAAACTCATTCAAATTGTTCCTGGAGAGAATGTTACTGCCATGGAACAAGAGTTTAAGGTTAGTTCATTTTGCTTTATGATGCTTAAAAAACATAATCAGGTACTTTCAAAAATTAAAGGTACAATGTCTTAATGTTTTAATGCCATTTCAAATACTATTCAATTCAATTTAGTTCAGCTTATTTATATAGCACCAATTCATAAATTTAATCTGAATCCACTTTACAAAAAGTGTAAATTTTCCATTTGAACCTAAACAGTAAAGTATGCTAAATTAATTATTCAAAGTGAGAGAAAACAAGAGAGAAAGACAGAGACTAAGCAGAAAACTTGGAAAACAAAGAATAACTGGGCATAAGGAACATAATTAAACTAGGACAGCTAAGAAAGGATTTAACATAGATGAAGCAGAAACAAGGCTGATAGGCAAATAAGGAACACATATTAATAATAATCAAACAAACCCCAAACAACTCAGGACCCTGACAGTATTTTGTGAACTTCCTGATAGTAAAGAATTACAAAAGGCCATCCTTGAAGTAATAAATGCATGGACTAGTTTTTCAGCATCACTCCTGGACAGGATATTTACAATTTTGAGCAAGATGAAAGAAGGAAATCTTATAAATGTTTAATATGAGATTTAAATGACATATCCTTTTCAAGAATAACAGAGATTCTTTACTTTATTATCGGAAGCCAGTTCAGTGCCATCCAGATCATGGATGGCATTGAACTGCCATACAGGTGCTTTTTCAGAAATTGCGGTCCAAAAACAACAACTTATGTCTTCTCAGAATTTAAAAGAAAAAAGTTCAGGCATCCAGATTTTAATGTCCTCAAGACATGCTGTCTGATGATTATTTCAAGTAGTAAAGAGAGATAAGTGTGAAGATGATTTATGGTTCACATGAACAAACTGGAATCTGTTGGACAGACAGGATTTAAACTAGCCTAGTGCTGTTCCCTTGGTACTTACATGTTCTAGCCATTCTAAGAGAATATTGTGGTTACTGTGTCAAAAGCAGCAAAATCAGATATCTACCAGCAGAGACCTTCCTAGCCTATTTGGCTTTATGGGTAAACCACTTTGCGACTCGTCAAACAGGTCATTACTGCTTAAGTGCTCACATTCTTGATTATCAAATATTATCTCGAAAACTTTAGATAAACTTTATAGATCTGCAATCAATAAAGGCATCTTATTAAATAAAGGTTTGATTACCTTAAAAGCTTGTAGAACAGGTTTATGCATTAGATCAATTATATCTAAAATATGAGCACTTATAAAAAACCCACTTTTTAAAATAAATTAGTTGGGAGAGGGTCCAACATGCAAGTTGAATGTTTGGAAGAAGTAATATGTGGCAATTTATTACAGTTATTTCAGAAACAATATGTTTATTTTAATTACCCTGATAAACAAATTACAGGGCATTATGGGAATGCCTTGTAATTTATACTATATAACTACAAATTAATTAGTGGACTTTAAATGACAGAGTTATCAAAAGACTAAAAGTACATAAGCTTATTGCAAAAATAAAAATATAGAAACATTACATTGTGTGATGGACCAAGTAGTCAAAGGAAAGCAAGGCAAAGGTTAAATTAAAAAAACAAATTGTTTTTTATTTAAACTAAAACTAAAACTTGGGTAAATAAGGAAAAATGACAGAACCTAACTGAAGCTAACAGAAAAATCCCATTGCCCCCCTCTTGATGAGTAGTGGTATGAACCAATTTGCAGTCTCAGTAGGCTTGCTCCACCCCTTCTCCACCTCTTTGTTCTCCTGAAGGACTGGAGCAGCCGGCACCGAGGTAACTCAAAAAAACAAAGGTTAAATCAAGCAAAACATAACAGTGTGAACTAAAATATAGTGTTATGATGTGCTGCCTTCCAAACAAAACCCAGTTATTCTTTAAGTTAAATCCTAGACTTAAAGAAACCCAAATATAAATGTGGTGAGACTGACTGAACTATTGTGTGTGGTGTGATTGGATGTTGCCACATTTGTGTGGCTATAACTGCAGCCATCACACAATCTCTGTTCTGTAAAGAGCAGAGGCAGGTAGTGGCAGTTGAAAGGTTTCACGTTTGAGAAGCTACAGTGTCTAACCCTTTAACTCCTTCTGCTTCTCCAGAGGCTGACTTTGAATGGAAGTCTTAAAACATCCACTCAGAGATGCATCAGCGCCAAACTACCATGGAACACATTCAAGAACCGTCTAGCAAACATTATGCCTTTCGAATTTAATCGTGTCTGTCTGCAGCCAATCAGAGCCATAGAGGGGTCTGATTATATTAATGCCAGTTTCATTGATGGATACAGGTGAGTCCACATAAACCAAAATGTTTTTTGCTCAGTCTAAACTAAGGGATCATTCCTGGTAGCTAATGCTAAACACATAGTCCAACAGGTGGGTTCCATTATGCAACACAATATGTCGGTACATGTTTTGAAGTTTATATGCTCACATAATATAAATCCAGGTAGCAAAATATGAGTGAATCAACTTTGAAATATTGTTAGGCAGAAATATTGAATCCATGTTGAAGCCTGACATTGAAATATTGAAAGCAGTTGGTGATTTATATGTTGAATTAACGTTAAAGTGTCAACCCTAACCGACACTATATCCTTGTTGGTTCGACCATAATCTGTCATGAGGTGTGAGGTTGTTGATGGTGAGGAGAGACGCTGAGACCCAGGTTATGGTGATGATGATGGTTTAATGAAGAGATAAAGCACACAAACAGTCCAAGGCAGGCAGCACGGCAGGAACAAGCACGCAGCTAAATACCGGTAGCAACTGTCAAAACGTACTAGACGGGACAAACCCAAACCAGGACTTAACAGTTCTACTGGCGAGTGAGACGGAAACATACACAAACGACGAGGACCCGACGAGGAACACAGACAACGGGAGGGTTTAAATACACACGGGGTAATCAAGGGAATGAGACACACCTGGGGAGCAATCAACGGGGAGGACAGGACAGAGACTCACAGGGAAACAGGACTGAACACAGAAAACTCAAAAATAAACACAAAAACACGGATCGTGACATAATCTAGCGTTGGATCTACATGCAAATTTTAGTTTATGTTGACTCAATCTTAGAAATCAATATTGATTCAACTATCATCTATATTTGGATCTACATGCACATTTGTGTTGATTTCATATTGAATCAAAGTTAAGGAATCATTGTTGTTTAATGTACAATCAATAGTGATTCCATAACATACCATTAAAAGTTTCTTCAACTGGTGTTAAAGATACAATTTTGTTCACAGACAATGCTTGTAGTAATATTCCAAAAATCTGTGTACACAAACTTAAAAATGACAACATGGCTTTAATATTACATTTTATTTAGGAAAACAGGCACAGATCTGTAAACATATTTGACTCCTTTTTGACTAACAGAACAACAGTCTATTCTTCATGGGAAAAAAAAATGAAGTTCCATGAGGTTAAACCTTGTACTGTATGAACCAGGGAAATAGTTTGTGTTAGAGTAAGCCAAGTTTGACTCTGGTTGGCATCACTTTGGTTCCTTGGGATGCCTCCCACCTGCTCTGGTGCAGGAGTCACTTCTTGACACGGGGCTATGGGAGCTTGAGCACCTGCCCTTTTTGCTCCTTGCCCCAAAGTGCCCTTTTGGTCAATTTTTTTTTTTTGGTATTATTATTTCCCAAGCCCTCTTCTGACGCATAATAACATAGTAAAATTATTATTTTTTTGTTGAGGTTTTCTTGTACAACATAATAAGCTGGTCACCTTGTTACCTTTGACCTTTTGCCCGTGACGCACGACGCAGTTGCCTCTCGTGCAGTGA